GCAAAGAAGCCACCTCTCCAGGAAAAACATCAGAGACAGACTGATGTTCTGCAAAAGGTACAGGGATTGGACTGCTGAGGACTGGGGTAAAGTCATTTTCTCTGATGAATCCCCTTTCCGATTGTTTGGGGCATACGGAAAACACCTTGTCCGGAGAAGAAAAGGTGAGCGCTACCATCAGTCCTGTGTCATGCCAACAATAAAGCATCCTGAGACCATTCATTTGTGGGGTTGCTTCTCAGCCAAGGGAGTGGGCTCACTCACAATTTTGCCTAAGAACACAGCCATGAATAAAGAATAGTACCAACACATCCTCCGAGAGCAACTTCTCCCAACCATCCAAGAACAGTTTGGTGACGAACAATGCCTTTTCCAGCATGATGGAGCACCTTGCCATAAGGCAAAAGTGATAACTAAGTGGCTCGGGGAACAAAACATCGACATTTTGGGTCCATGGCCAGGAATCTCCCCAGACCTTAATCCCATTGAGAACTTGTGGTCGATCCTCAAGAGGCGGGTGGACAAACAAAAACCCACAAATTCTGACAAACTCCAAGCATTGATTATGCAAGAATGGGCTGCCATCAGTCAGGATGTGGCCCAGAAGTTAATTGACAGCATGCCAGGGCAGATTGCAGAGGTCTTGAAAAAGAAGGGTCAACACTGCAAATATTGACTCTTTGCATAAACGTAATGTAATTGTCAATAAAAGCCTTTGACACTTATGGAATGCTTGTAATTATACTTCAGTATACCATAGTAACATCTGACAAAATATCTCATAACACTGAAGCAGCGAACTTTGTGAAGACCAATACTTGTGTCATTCTCAAAACTTTTGACCACGACTGTAGTCTGTTTTACTCTCATGGTCTTTGGAGCCAAAACGCCTGAGGTAATAATGTTAACCTATATGGCCTTTTTTTATGCTCAAGTTGACGCCTCCAGAAATTGACCTATGAATCTACCTTCCGCTTTTGAATCGTTGAGAACATTTTACTTACAGGCATCATCATTTTGCACTGAACAGCACTGAACAGCACATCAAAAAATGAATTGTAAAGTATAACAGAGACATTGGTGTGCTGTAATACAGTACTATGGCTTGAATCTTTGACACTTCCTGTTTCTCAAGCACATTTTTTTACACTGTCTTGTTTGTGTTTCCTTTGTGTCAATGGGAACCTCCCATGTTTTGCTGTGTCAGTGGGAACCTCCCATGTCTTGCTGTGTCAATGGGAACCTCCCATGTGTTGCTGCGTCAATGGGAACCTCTCATGTGTTGCTGCATCAATTGGAACCTCCCATGTTTTGCTGTGCCAATGGGAACCTCCCATGTTTTGCTGTGTCAATGGGAACCTCCCATGTTTTGCCGTTTCAATGGGAACCTCCCATGTTTTGCTGTGTCAATGGGTACCTCCCATGTTTTGCTGTGTCAATGGGAACCTCCCATGTGTTGCTGTGTCAATGGGAACCTCCCAAGTGTTGCTGTGTCAATGGGAACCTCCCATGTGTTGCTCTTGTTTTTCCTTTATTTGGACAGGCCTCCCTCCACTTCCCCTCCATCAGACAGAGACCCACAGTGTCATATACATTAGTGCTGCTTATTTACAGCTACTTGGACATTACATTAAGCTTGCATTGTTCTCGAGATGGTCTGGGGTTCTATCCTGGGGTTCTATCCTGGGGTTCTATCCTGGGGTTCTATCCTGGGATTCTATCCTGGGGTTCTATCCTGGGGTTCTATCCTGGGGTTCTATCCCACCATGTTTTCAAACACCCCTTTATTCTTTCATTCAGTTTGAATGAATCAGCTGTAGGGTATTAACAGTGTTAACATTATTAACAGTCCTGAACAAGGATCTGCTCTTTCAGCAATCAAAATAAACATCAAACATACTGTAATAATGATAATAAATTGCATTTGTAGAGCACTTTTCACATAGACGGAAATCGCAAAGCTATTCACATTCAGAGCAACCATTAAAAGAAAAAAGCTTTATTAAAAGGGCAAAAAAAAACAGGCGAGAAATTAAAAGATAGCTAGCGGCCTAGTACTATACAAGATACATAAAATAATACAGGAGGCAACAAGGACAAAATAATAGACCTTGAAACTAACGGACAAGACCAACAGACAACAAAACATAGATCACGTTAAGATAAAGCCAGTTTGAAGAAGTGATTCTTGAGTTCCAGAGCCGGCGGCCGAGACAGTAGAATGCGTCTCTGGGACTGCAAGGAGTCTTTGATCATTTGACTGAATTAAACGTGAAGACTGTTTGCAGCTGTGGAGTTCACTGAGGTATTGGGGACCAGAGGCACTGAGGATATTGAAGACTAACAGGAAGATTTTGAAGTTGATTCTGAGTTGGATGGGTAGCCAGTGGAGAGAGACTAGAATGGCGGTGATGTGGGCAGATCTTTGGGTTCCTATGAGGACCCTGGCAGCGGTGTTCGGCAAAAGCTGCAGCATGTAGATGCTTTTTGAGGGGAGACCACCAAGGAGGGCATTGCAGTAATTAAGTCGGGAGGTGGAGAGGGAATTCACCAGTTTTTCAAGATCATATTTGGAAAGAACAGGACGGAGCTGGTTGATGTTTCTCAGGTGAAATAATATATATTTTTTGCGGTCAAAGAAAGTGAGGTCCAGTAACACTCCAAGGTTGGTGTCACGCCCTGACTCAAGGGACGTTTATTTGTTGAGTCAGGATGTGTATATTCCGTGTTGGGTTTGTTCATTGTTATATAATCTATGATGTGTAGATCTATGTTGGCCGGGGTGGTTCCCAATCAGAGGCAGCTGTAGCTCGTTGTCTCTGATTGGGGACCATACTTAGGCAGCCTTTTGGCACGAGTTAGTTGTGGGATCTTGTTCCGTGTAAGGTATGTTGTTTGTATGCTACCTTGGACTTCACGTTTCGTTTGTTGTTTTGTCGTGTGTTTAGTCGTTAATAAACATGAATGCATATCACGCTGCGCCTTGGTCCTTCTCGTTCATGAACGATCGTGACAGTTGGAGACAGAGGAGGACAGTGGGATGGAGTGGCTGCCAAGGGTAAGGGTGGTGATGGGTCCGGTTGTGGTGTGATGGTGAGGGCCGTTGAGGACTGCTTCTGCTTTAGTGTTGTTGAGTTGTAGGAAGTTGTCATCCAGGCCTTGATGTCATCCAGACAGCTGCTGAGGGTGTTTATGAAGGAGAGGGAGTCCGGGGTTTTTATGTAGATGCTGCCACCACCATGCTTCACCGTAGGGATGGTGCCAGGTTTCCTCCAGACGTGACGCCAAACAAAACACAAAGCGGTTTTAACTTCTTTAGGAAAACAGCCCTAATGTTGGACACAATCCTGCTCCACAGACAATTCCTTCGACCTCATGGCTTGGTTTTTGCTCTGAAATGCACTGTCAACTGTGGGGCCTTATATAGACAGGTGTGTGCCTTTCCAAATCATGTCCAATCAATTTAATGTACCACAGGTGGACTCCAATCAAGTTGTAGAAACATCTCAAGGATGATCAATGGAAACAGGATGCACCTGAGCGCAATTTCGACGCTCATAGCAAAGGGTCTGAATACTTATATACGTATGTAAATAAGGTATCTGTTTTTTATTTGTAATGCATTTGCAAAAATGTATTTTTTATTTAATCCATTTTAGAATAAGGCTGTAATGTAACAAAATGTGGAAGAAGGGAAGGGGTCTGAATACTTTCCAAATTCACTGTATGTGGGTAGTCAGCGTAGCAGGGGAATTGGATGCCGTGTTTCCTGATTAGAAGACAAAAATGAAAACACGAAGTAGACCAAAGTCTTTGATCCTTAAAAACCTTCTGTATGTAAAATACTGTGTGATTTAGTTTGGAAAATAAATACGTGACTCTGGATGACAACATAATGATGTTTGTTTCCAACATTAGGGCTGTTTTCTTAAAGAGGTTAAATCCGCTTTGTGTTTTGTTTCCCTGCCACGATACTAACGTGTATCACGATACTGGTATTGTCCCGGCCCTAGCCGTTTCTGTACTGTGGTTAGGCCTGAAACCAGAATGGAAATTCTCATAGGCTGAGTTTACCCAGGCGATGATGATTCCACTTCTTGTGGTGTTAATCTTTTTGAAGAAGTAGGTGGAGAATCTTCCGCAGTCCTCTGTGGCAGTCCTCTGTGGCAGTCTTCTAATGGTAGTCCTCTAATGGTAGTCCACTGTGGCAGTCCTCTGTGGCAGTCCTCTGTGGTAGTCCTCTGTGGTAGCAGTGTTGTATGTATGTAATGTGTGAATTAATGGTGCAGAGAAAACATTCAGCAGCCATGGGCCATAGAACCTCCCTATTCCTGAAAAGTGAGGCATGAGTAAATGCCACATCTCATCTTTCCCCTCCAGCCTTAGTGTTCCGGTCTGTTTCCATTCCCCGGGCTTCTTACTTTCAAACAGAAAAGGGAAGGATTAGGGAAGGACATGAATCTGGTCTCTAAGGCCAAGTACAGCAACAAGTGAATCACTGTGAAAACCCTGGTGCAGCGCTGTATGAGAAGACTTAATCTGCTACCCTAGTGCAGCTCTGTATCAGAACACTTCATCTGCTACCCTAGTGCAGCGCTGTATCAGAACACTTCATCTGCTACCCTAGTGCAGCACTGTATCAGAACACTTCATCTGCTACCCTAGTGCAGCACTGTATCAGAAGACTTAATCTGCTACCCTAGTGCAGCTCTGTATCAGAACACTTCATCTGCTACCCTAGTGCAGCGCTGTATCAGAACACTTCATCTGCTACCCTAGTGCAGCACTGTATCAGAAGACTTAATCTGCTACCCTAGTGCAGCTCTGTATCAGAAGACTTAATCTGCTACCCTAGTGCAGCACTGTATCAGAACACTTCATCTGCTACCCTAGTGCAGCGCTGTATCAGAACACTTCATCTGCTACCCTAGTGCAGCGCTGTGTCAGAAGACTTCATCTGCTACCCTAGTGCAGCGCTGTGTCAGAAGACTTCATCTGCTACCCTAGTGCAGCGCTGTATCAGAAGACTTCCTCTGCTATTTTGCTCTGCTATGGAGATCATCATTTGTTTTGCGAAGAGGAGAAATTACTAAATGCACCAAAGTTAGGATAATCGTTGACAGAATTATTGGTCAAGAAGGTCCAACAGTAAGTATGTTCTTTATTTCTGATCAGGTGTTATTGTGTGATTCCCCACAGTTGACGGACTGGAAAAATGTTCTCTGGCCGACTGTGATGTTGTGGTGGGCAGCACCCAGACTCGTCCACTGAAGCAGAAGGGGAAGATCTCCACTATAGGGAAGATCTTCAAACCTTGGAAATGGCGCAAGAAGAAAACCAGTGACAAGTTTCAGGACCTATCCATAGGTATGTCTGAAGTAGCCTGGTCACATACTGCTTCATTATGCTGTAGCCAACTCTTACAGTGGGGAAAAAAAGTATTTAGTCAGCCACCAATTGTGCAGGTTCTCCCACTTAAAAAGAAAATCACATTGTAGGATTTTTAATGAATTTATTTGCAAATTATGGTGGAAAATAAGTATTTGGTCACCTACAAACAAGCAAGATTTCTGGCTCTCACAGACCTGTAACTTCTTCTTTAAGAGGCTCCTCTGTCCTCCACTCGTTACCTGTATTAATGGCACCTGTTTGAACTTGTTATCAGTATAAAAGACACCTGTCCACAACCTCAAACAGTCACACTCCAAACTCCACTATGGCCAAGACCAAAGAGCTGTCAAAGGACACCAGAAACAAAATTGTAGACCTGCACCAGGCTGGGAAGACTGAATCTGCAATAGGTAAGCAGCTTGGTTTGAAGAAATCAACTATGGGAGCAATTATTAGGAAATGGAAGACATACAAGACCACTGATAATCTCCCTCGATCTGGGGCTCCACGCAAGATCTCACCCCGTGGGGTCAAAATGATCACAAGAACGGTGAGCAAAAATCCCAGAACCACACGGGGGGACCTAGTGAATGACCTGCAGAGAGCTGGGACCAAAGTAACAAAGCCTACCATCAGTAACACACTACGCCGCCAGGGACTCAAATCCTGCAGTGCCAGACTCAACTCGTCGTGTTTGGAGGACAAAGAATGCTGAGTTGCATCCAAAGAACACCATACCTACTGTGAAGCATGGGGGTGGAAACATCATGCTTTGGGGCTGTTTTTCTGCAAAGGGACCCTTCCATCAGCAAGGGCATTGAAGATGAAACGTGGCTGGGTCTTTCAGCATGACAATGATCCCAAACACACCGCTCGGGCAACAAAGGAGTGGCTTCGTAAGAAGCATTTCAAGGTCCTGGAGTGGCCTAGCCAGTCTCCAGATCTCAACCCCATAGAAAATCTTTCGAGGGAGTTGAAAGTCCGTGTTGCCCAGCGACAGCCCCAAAACATCACTGCTCTAGAGGAGATCTGCATGGAGGAATGGGCCAAAACACCAGCAACAGTGTGTGAAAACCTTGTGAAGACTTACAGAAAACGTTTGACCTGTGTCATTGCCAACAAAGGGTATATAACAAAGTATTGAGAAACTTTTGTTATTGACCAAATACTTATTTTCCACCATAATTTGCAAATAAATTCATTAAAAATCCTACAATGTGATTTTCTGGATTTTTTTTTCTCATTTTGTCTGTCATAGTTGACATGTACCTATGATGAAAATTACAGGCCTCTCTCATCTTTTTAAATGGGAGAACTTGCACAATTGGTGGCTGACTAAATACTTTTTTTCCCCACTGTACATTTACATTTACATCCATTGTTGTCATGCCACATGTTTTCATTTATTATGCTGTAGCCAACTCTTCCATCGTTGTCATACCACATGTTTTCATGCCAAACATGACATGAAACTTGTGCCATTCACTATCCCCTCACATGATTAACACCCAAAGAAAGTTTTAATATATTGGTTTGCATCTTGCGTGACTCTGCCAATGCCCGGGCAAGCTACATAGTGTACCCTAGCTAAAGTACATCTTGTGATTTTGACAATTTACATTTATGTAAAGATTTCAAGCTTGCTTAAAATAATATCAGCAGGCTAGGGGCAGGTTTGAAAGGAGTGAGTGTGATCATGGGTTTAATTTCTCAAGCATCCTCCACTGTTTCTGGACTATGTACAGTGAGGGAAAAAAGTATTTGATCCCCTGCTGATTTTGTACGTTTTCCCACTGACAAAGACATGATCAGTCTATAATTTTAATGGTAGGTGTATTTGAACAGTGAGAGACAGAATAACAACAACAACAAAAAAACAGAAAAACGCATGTCAAAAATGTTATAAATTGATTTGCATTTTAATGAGGGAAATAAGTATTTGACCCCTCTGCAAAACATGACTTAGTACTTGGTGGCAAAACCTTTGTTGGCAATCACAGAGGTCAGACGTTTCTTGTAGTTGGCCACCAGGTTTGCACACATCTCAGGAGGGATTTTGTTCCACTCCTCTTTGCAAATCTTCTCCAAGTCATTAAGTTTTCAAGGCTGACGTTTGGCAACTCGAACCTTCAGCTCCCTCCACAGATTTTCTATGGGATTAAGGTCTGGAGACTGGCTAGGCCACTCCAGGACCTTAATGTGCTGCTTCTAGAGCCATTCCTTTGTTGCCTTGGCCGTGTGTTTTGGGTCATTGTCATGCTGGAATACCCATCCACGACCCATTTTCAATGCCCTGGCTGAGGGAAGGAGGTTCTCACCCAAGATTTGACGGTACAGGGCCCCGTCCATCGTCCCTTTGATGCGGTGAAGTTGTCCTGTCCCCTTAGCAGAAAAACACCCCCAAAGCATAATGTTTCCACCTCCATGTTTGACGGTGGGGATGGTGTTCTTGGGGTCATAGGCAGCATTCCTCCTCCTCCAAACACAGAGATTTGAATGGATGCCAAAGAGCTCGATTTTGGTCTCATCTGACCACAACACTTTCACCCAGTACTCCTCTGAATCATTCAGATGTTCATTGGCAAACATCAGACGGGCCTGTATATGTGCTTTCTTGAGCAGGGGGACCTTGCGGGCGCTGCAGGATTTCAGTCCTTCACGGCTTAGTGTGTTACCAATTGTTTTCTTGGTGACTATGGTCTCAGCTGCCTTGAGATCATTGACAAGATCCTCCCGTGTAGTTCTGGGCTGATTCCTCACCGTTCTCATGATCATTGCAACTCCACGAGGTGAGATCTTGCATGGAGCCCCAGGCCGAGGGAGATTGACAGTTATTTTGTGTTTCTTCCATTTGCGAATAATCGCACCAACTGTTGTCACCTTCTCACCAAGCTGCTTGGCGATGGTCTTGTAGCCCATTCCAGCCTTGTGTAGGTCTACAATCTTGTCCCTGACATCCTTGGAGAGCTCTTTGGTCTTGGCCATGGTGGAGAGTTTGGAATTTGATTGATTGATTGCTTCTGTGGACAGGTGTCTTTTATACAGGTAACAAGCTGAGATTAGGAGCACTCCCTTTAAGAGTGTGCTCCTAATCTCAGCTCGTTACCTGTATAAAAGAGACCTGGGAGCCAGAAATCTTTCTGATTGAGAGGGGGTCAAATACTTATTTCCCTCATTAAAATGCAAATCAATTTATAACATTTTTGACATGCATTTTTCTGGATTTTTTTGATGTTATTCTGTCTCTCAATGTTCAAATAAACCTACCATTAAAATTATAGACTGATCATTTCTTTGTCAGTGGGCAAACGTACAAAATCATCAGGGGATCAAATACTTTTTTCCCTCACTGGATGTTGTAACACAGAACTAAATGAAGTGATATCTGATCATCATATACAGTCATGTTGAGCTGTTCATGTCATACAAGACCTGGCTTCAAATAGTTTGTTTTATTTCAAATAGTTTGACCATTTGATTGAGGCTGTCTGAGTGCCAGCTGGGTGGGACAGCTATTTAAAGAATGGCAGCTATTTGAAAGAAAAACAATACCATTGGAATCCAATTATGTCGTCTGTGTCATACCTGTCTGGCTAGTAGTGGGAAGGCCTTCTCAAGTTCATCTCTTGGTGTGATAATCGACTTTTGAACACAAATGCTATTATTTATTTTTTTTCACATAATTTACATATTTAATGGACTACTTTCCCTACTGCATCATAGCTACATGACCCTAAGCTGTCCATCTTTCACATAATTTATTCCTCTGTGTAATTGTTCCTGGACTTTTATGTAATCCCTGACTTACATTCAATGCGTGTGTGTGTGCATGTGTTGGGTAATATCCTACCCTGTCATTACAAAGATCACAGAATGAATGACTGCGTCTGGCCAATGATTAACTCTACTCTGCTCATCTCCATAGTTCTGGAGAGGAAAATCTCCACAAGGCAAAGTCGAGAGGCGCTGATAAGACAAGGCGTCCTCATTCCTGATCAAGGTGAGAGTTAGGGCGGGAAAATTAATGTAATTAACAGTGTTCATTTGTTTATTTTAGGCTGTGATGACTAAATAGTATTGAGCAGAAGTCCCTCCCCCAACCCCCTGTTTCCCGCTGTGGCATTGTGATGCCAAAAACCACTCTCACAGGAGCTGCTGTCCTATACTAACAATTTACCTGCAGCAACAAGTTTGTGTTTTTATAACCAGTGGAAAACTCCCTGATGTTAGTTGTTGCTACGATGGGGAAGAAACCCAAACTGCAGTACCATCTAAGTTGTTTGTCCTCCTGGTAGTCACTGAAGAGCAAGAGTAATGAGGCCCAGGAGAGGACCCTGCTGCTGCCCTCACTAACACCCCCCTCCCTCTGCATTGTTACATTACCTCAAATCTGCATAAAGGATGGAAAATGACATTTTGTTCTTAAGGGAGTTCATCTAATGGTAAATGTAAATGTCTCAAGACTTGTATTCCTCATGTGTACTGTATAATGAGTGGATGTAGTAAAATAGCTTCATGTCAGTTAAAATGTGCCCCATATCACCCCCTGCTAACTGTTCAATGTTTCCTTTGCACCAGAGGAGCCAGTGAACTCGGAGACTCTAAATGGCCACTCCACGCTTAGTGTGGGGTCAGAGGAGGTCAAAGTTGACATAGAGTCTCCTGAAATGCCTTCGGAGGAGAAGACCGAAGGGTCGGAGAATGCTGAGGACAAAGCAGGTATACTGGAATGCTTAAAACATGTTTGTCTGCAAGCAGGCCAAAGCTAAATGAAATGGCATGGTCTAAATCCATTCAGTGAGCTCCGATTGAATAATGTGTCCACTAGCGTTTCCTATTTTGGCTTTGACCTCCAAGCATGAGTCTGAACAGAGCAATAACCCATCCACTGATGGCCAATATTACCCTGTTAGACCTGCAGGAGTTTTGCCATCTGAAGCTTTTAAAGTGTTGTTGTTCCTCAATTCAATTTGTACTGGGTTTTCCATCCCATATCCATGAAGATGTCTCCATCGCTGTTAATCTTTTAGCAGATGACCAATCGTCACAATGCTGCACACTCCAGCAGAATGTAACCAGACACACCTTCTATGGTAAATCCCCTTGATGCTCGGATAGAGAAATGAAAGAGCAGAAATCCCCTATTCTGAAGACCTGCAGGTCAAAGGAGGCTGTCACTTCTGCAATGATCAAATTCTTCTGTACTGTACTGATCATACCACTGGAGCCAGAGCTCTGGCCTCTTCAGATCAATAGGAAGCCACTCCACTGCTCCCCACTTAAGACCAAAGACAAACTGGGATGACTGGCTAGATCTCTCTCCAATGACACATTCAGAGTGGTTCAGCTGGTCAGTGCAGGTCAGGAAAACCGATTCAATTGAGTTCTCAGTTCATTACAGAGCCATTTGGTGCCCTGTCAGGGCAGATACCCAGACTATGCCTAATCTACAGTGCCCGGGCACTGAGGGCTCTGCCTGGCAATGATGTGCTACTTTAATGAATGCATCGGGAGCTTGGATGTGACAGCTCGGATGAGTAAGAATGTGGAGAGAAATTCTCCTATGTTGACCCTATAAGATATTAGTCCATACTAGATGGACATTTGTCTTCTACTTTTTTCCCCTCTGATATAAACACACACGTTAGGTTGGAGGTCAGGTCACATCAAAATGGTTTGTTAGACCTTTCTTCATACCTCCAATATAAACTGTAACAATCCTCTTCAAGGTTAGGGGAGTTTGTACAGAATTGAAGCGGGAGACCGTCACCCAAAATCACCCTAGAGAGAGTTATTTTGAACATGACAGTACCTGTATGTTGGTTTCTGTGTCCTGGTCCGCCCAGGCCACAGGCGTGGTCGAGGATAGCAGTGTTCGATACACGAATCGGGTTCTCGGTAGGTCCAGGTCCAACAGCCAACAGGTAAGTCTAAACAGTCCAGGTAACACACAGTAAATCCAGCCAATATATATAGTCGTGGTCAAAAGTTTTGAGAATGACACAAGTATTGGTCTTCACAAAGTTCGCTGCTTCAGTGTTTTTAGATATTTTTGTCAGATGTTACTATGGTATACTGAAGTATAATTACAAGCATTCCATAAGTGTCAAAGGCTTTTATTGACAATTACATTACGTTTATGCAAAGAGTCAATATTTGCAGTGTTGACCCTTCTTTTTCAAGACCTCTGCAATCTGCCCTGGCATGCTGTCAATTAACTTCTGGGCCACATCCTGACTGATGGCAGCCCATTCTTGCATAATCAATGCTTGGAGTTTGTCAGAATTTGTGGGTTTTTGTTTGTCCACCCGCCTCTTGAGGAAAGGGGATTCATCAGAGAAAATGACTTTACCCCAGTCCTCAGCAGTCCAATCCCTGTACCTTTTGCAGAACATCAGTCTGTCCCTGATGTTTTTCCTGGAGAGAAGTGGCTTCTTTGCTGCCCTTCTTGACACCAGGCCATCCCCCAAAAGTATTTGCCTCACTGTGAGTGCAGATGCACTCACACCTGCCTGCTGCCATTCCTGAGCAAGCTCTGCACTGGTGGTGCCCCGATCCCGCAGCTGAATCAACTTTAGGAGACGGTCCTGGCGCTTGCTGGACTTTCTTGGGCGCCCTGACGCCTTCTTCACAACAATTGAACCTCTCTCCTTGAAGTTCTTGATGATCCGATAAATGGTTGATTTAGGTACAATCTTACTAGCAGCAATATCCTTGCCTGTGAAGCCCTTATTGTGTAAAGCAATGCTGATGGCACGTGTTTCCTTGCAGGTAACCATGGTTAACAGAGGAAGAACAATGATTTCAAGCACCACCCTCCTTTTAAAGCTTCCAGTCTGTTATTCTCACTCAATCAGCATGATCACATAATTTATCCAGCCTTGTCCTCGTCAACACTCTCACCTGTGTTAACGAGAGAATCACTGACATGATGGCAGCTGGTCCTTTTGTGGTAGGGCTGAAATGCAGTGGAAATGTTTTTTGGGGATTAAGTTCATTTTCATGGCAAAGAGGGACTTTGAATTAATTGCAATTCATCTGATCACTCTTCATGTCATTCTGGAGTATATACAAATTGCCATCATCAAAACTGAGGCAGCAGACTTTGTGAAAATTAGTATTTGTGTCATTCTCAAAACTTTTGACCACGACTGTATATTGTCACTTTTTTATTTTTCCGTGTTTCACAGATCCACAGCCACTTGCTCTCTCCCCCTTCCTAGTTTGTCTTGACCCCTTATATGTGGGTCGGCCCCACCTTGCGAGCGTTCCCCTTGCTTCTGGGGATTGTAGTTTTTGGCGGTCTGCCATTTTGTGATCTGTAGTTCTTGTCGGAGTGGCCATTTTAGTGAGGGCAGAGCCCGTTTATTAGTTCTGCCCTCACATATCTGCCATTTAACACTCTGCCCTCTTCTTTGCCACAAAACACACACGTTAGGTTGGAGGTAAGGTCACATCAAAAGGGTTTGTTAGACCTTTCTTCATACATTCGATATGCACATAATGGACCGACTTTACGTTCCCCACGATTATTAGCGAGACACATTTTTCTCCATGGTCTCTTCTTTCCCCTGATCAGACGTAAGCCTTCCTATCCATCACCCTTGTGTCTGTCTGTCTGTCTCTGTCTGTCTCTATCTCTGTCTCTGTCTCTGTCTCTGTCTCTGTCTCTGTCTCTGTCTGTCTCTGTCTGTCTCTGTCTGTCTCTGTCTGTCTCTGTCTGTCTGTCTCTGTCTGTCTCTGTCTGTCTCTGTCTCTGTCTCTGTCTCTGTCTGTCTCTGTCTGTCTCTGTCTGTCTCTGTCTGTCTCTGTCTCTGTCTCTGTCTCTGTCTATGTCTCTGTCTCTGTCTGTCTCTGTCTCTGTCTCTGTCTGTCTGTCTCTGTCTCTGTCTCTGTCTCTGTCTCTGTCTCTGTCTCTGTCTCTGTCTCTGTCTCTGTCTCTGTCTCTGTCTCTGTCTGTCTGTAAATGCCAGGAGAGGTTGCTCTGCTGCTCCTCCTCTACCCCCCGTAGTGACAAACAAAAAACAAAGCTACCCAAAAGCACAGGCAAGCAAGCTTCCGCTCCGCCCCACAAACAAAACCCTCGAAACAATTACCGTGGGAGCGGTGAGTATCAGTGGTGCTGGTTGGTTGGGAGAGAGAAGCCTGTTTGCATGCATAATGTACCCGTCTTCACATGTGGAAGGCCTTTCTCCGTCCATCAGTCCATCCATCCTTGTCCCCCCTCAGGAATGAATGGTAGTATCCCGCATGGAGAATGTACCCATCTTCACATGTGGAAGGCCTCCCTCCGTCCATCATTCCATCCATCCTCAAGAATGGTCCATACTAGAATAGGCTAAGGATTGACAGTAGTTGAAAGGGTTAATTTTTCTTGTAGTAAAAAGGGAAGTGAGGAGAGTGTACAGAGAGTTACCAGCAATTTTTTTTAGACAGCACTTCAATAAAGACACTGTGTCCCATTTGTGTTCCCCTTTCTGCCTGCCTGCTGCCTGCTGCCTGCTGCCTTCCTGCTGTCTGCCTGCTGCCTGCTGCCTTCCTGCTGTCTGCCTGCTGCCTTCCTGCTGTCTGCAGCTGCCTGCTGCCTTCCTGCTGTCTGCCTGCTGCCTGCTGCCTTCCTGCTGTCTGCCTGCTGCCTGCTGCCTTCCTGCTGTCTGCCTGCTGCCTGCTGCCTTCCTGCTGTCTGCCTGCTGCCTGCTGCCTTCCTGCTCTCTGCCTGCTGCCTTTCTGCTGTCTGCCTGCTGCCTGCTGCCTGCTGCCTTCCTGCTGTCTGCTGCCTTCCTGCTGTCTGCCTGCTGCCTACTGTCTTCCTGCTGTCTGTCTGCTGTCTGCTGCCTTCCTGCTGTCTGCCTGCTGCCTGCTGCCTTCCTGTTGTCTGCCTGCTGCCTTCCTGCTGTCTGTCTGCTGTGTGCTGCCTTCCTGCTGTCTGCCTGCTGCCTGCTGCCTTCCTGCTGTCTGCCTGCTGCCTGCTGCCTTCCTGCTGTCTGCCTGCTGCCTGCTGCCTTCCTGCTGTCTGCCTGCTGCCTGCTGCCTTCCTGCTCTCTGCCTGCTGCCTTCCTGCTGTCTGCCTGCTGCCTTCCTGCTGTCTGCCTGCTGCCTTCCTGCTGTCTGCCTGCTGCCTACTGTCTTCCTGCTGTCTGTGTGCTGCCTGCTGCCTTCCTGCTGTCTGTCTGCTGTCTGCTGCCTTCCTGCTGCCTTCCTGCTGTCTGCCTGCTGCCTGCTGCCTTCCTGTTGTCTGCCTGCTGCCTTCCTGCTGTCTGTATGCTGTGTGCTGCCTTCCTGCTGTCTGTCTGCTGTCTGCTGCCTTCCTGCTGTCTGCCTGCTGCCTTCCTGCTGTCTGCCTGCTGCCTTCCTGCTGTCTGCCTGCTGCCTGCTGCCTTCCTGCTATCTGCCTGCTGCCTTCATGCTGTCTGCCTGCTGCCTGCTGCCTGCTGCCTTCCTGCTGTCTGCCTGCTGCCTGCTGCCTTCCTGCTGTCTGCCTGCTGCCTAACTCTGAAAAACCCTTGCTCATATGGTTTATTTTTGTCTTTGGTGCATGATGATCTGGTTCATGGATCGTTTGGTTTCCTAGGTCCGGTGTGGCCATGTCGTGTTTGTGTGTGTCTGTGTGTGTGTGTGTGTCTGTGTGTATGAAAAATGTATGCACTCACTAACTGTAAGTCGCTCTGGATAAGAGCGTCTGCTAAATGACGTAAATGTAAATGTGTGTGAGTGTCTGTCTGTCTGTGTGTCTCTGTCTGTGCACCAGCGTCCGTGCACATGTCTCATTTGACCCCACTAGAGTAAACTATGTTACCCAGAGCCAATAGTGTTGCATGTGATGGGCATGCCTGCCTAACTTGGTATTTTATGAGTTTCTGTGAAGAAATGCCAGATTTTGGGTTCTCCATATTTCTGTTTCACATTTACATTTTAGTAATTTAGCAGACGCTCTTATCCAGAGTGACTTACAGTTAGTGAGTGCATACATTTTCATACTGGCCCCCCGTGGAAAACGAACCCACAACCCTGGCGTTGCAAGCGCCATGCTCTACCAACTGAGCTACAGGGGACCTGTTTTATGTTCATTGTTATCCTCTGGCTATAATAATCTTTGAGTTCACATTGTTCTCTTGTTGAGTGACAGTAGTTCATTTGGTTTTGAGTAGCTTCTGTTATCTACCAAATGGCTTATCCACAATACGGCCTCTATCCACAATATGACCTTTGGAGCACCTTAAATGAAATTTGGGGAAAAAAGGCAAACCCATCATTCATTAAATCAGATGGCTCATTCATCACACTGATATTGCCAACTACTTTAATGATTTTTTTCATTGGCAAGATTAGCAAACTTAGGCGTGACATGCCAGCAACAAACGCTGACACTACACATCCAAGTATATCAGAAGTATATCTGACCAAATTATGAAAGACAAGCATTGTAATTTTGAATTCCATAAAGTGAGTGTGGAAAAGGTGAAGAAATTATTATTGTCGATCAACAATGACATGCCACCGGAGTCTGACAACTTGGATGGAAAATTACTGAGGATAATAGCGGACGATATTGCCACAATTTAAGCCTACTAGAAAGTTTGTGCCCTCAGGCCTGGAGGGGAAGCAAAAGTCATTCCGCTACCTAAGAATAGTAAAGCCCCCTTTACTAGCTCAAATAGCCAACCAATCAGCCTGTTACCAACCTTTAGTAAACTTTTGGAAAAAATTGTGTTTGACCAGATACAATGCTATTTTACAGTAAACAAATTGACAACAGACTTTCAGCAAGCTTATAGGGAAGGACATTCAACAAGCACAGCACTAACACAAATGACTGATGATTGGCTGAGAGAAATTGATGATAAAAAGATTGTGGGGGCTGTTAGACTTCAGTGCGGCTTTTGACATTATCGATCATAGTCTGCTGCTGGAAAAACGTATGTCTTATGGCTTTACACCCCCTGCTATATTGTGGATAAAGAATTACCTGTCTAACAGAACACATAGGGTGTTCTTTAATGGAAGCCTCTCCAACATAATCCAGGTAGAATCAGGAATTCCCCAGGGCAGCTGTCTAGGCCCCTTACTTTTTTAGTTTTTTAAATCTTTACTAACGACATGCCATTGGCTTTGAGTAAAGCCAGTGTGTCTATGTATGCAGATGACTCAACACTATATATACGTCAGCTACTACAGCGACTGAAATGACTGCAACACTTAACAAAGAGCTGCAGTTAGTTTCAGAATGGGTGGCAAAGAATAAGTTAGTCCTAAATATTTCAAAAACTAAAAGCATTGTATTTAGGACAAATCATTCACTAAACCTTAAACCTCAACTAAATCTTGTAATGAATAATGTGGAAATTGAGCAAGTTGAGGTGACTAAACTGCTTGGAGTAACCCTGGATTGTAAACTGACATGGTCAGAACATATTTATACAACAGTAGCTAAGATGGGGAGAAGTCTGTTCATAATAAAGCACAGCTCTGCCTTCTTAACAACACTATAAACAAGGCAGGTCCTACAGGCCTTAGTTTTGTCGCACCTGGACTACTGTTCAGTCGAGTGGTCAGGTGCCACAAAGAGGGACTTAGGAAAATTGCAATGGGCTCAGAACAGGGCAGCACGGCTGGCCCTTAGATGTACACAGAGAGCTAACATTAATAATATGCATGTCAATCTCTCCTGGCTCAAAGTGGAGGAGAGATTGACTTCATCACTACTTGTATTTGTGAGAGATATTGACATGTTGAATACACTGAGCTGTCTGTTTGAACTACTGGCACACAGCTCAGACACCCATGCATACCCAACAAGACATGCCACCAGAGGTCTCTTCACAGTCCCCAAGTCCAGAACAGACTATGGGAGGTGCACAGTACTACATAGAGCCATGACTACATGGAACTCTATTCCACATCAAGTAACTCATGCAAGCAGTAAAATTTGATATAAAAATACACCTTATGGAACAGCGGGGACTGTGAAGTAACAAAAACATAGGCACAGACGCATGCATACACACACGATAACATACGCTCTTTTAATGTGTTGTGAAATCTGTTGTGAATGTGTTGTAATGTTTTTAAAATTCTATAACTGCCTAAACTTTGCTGGACCCCAGGAAGAGTAGCTGCTGCCTTGGCAGGAACTAATGGGGATCCATAATAAATACAAATACCTCTATCCACAATACGACCACTATGCACAATACGACATCTATCCACAATACGATCTCTATCCACAATACAATCTCTATCCACAATACGACCTCTATCCACAATACGACCTCTATCCACAATACGATCTCTATCCACAATACGACCTCTATCCACAATATGATCTCTATCCACAATACGATCTCTATCCACAATACGACCTCTATCCACAATACGACCTCTATCCACAATACAACCTCTATCCACAATACGACCTCTATCCACAATACGACCTCTATCCACAATAGTACCGCTTTCACAGCCACTAATAATCTCTTACCCTGACCCTGGCAGTGCCCCCACTCTCCGAGGGTGTCTCAGGGAGAGTTGGGATATGCAAAAAACTATTGCTTTTAATCCACCAAATATTATTATTATTTTACTCTTCTAATTCCATCACATGACCACAACATTCTATAAAACGTATATATACAGTGGGGGAAAAAAGTATTTAGTCAGCCACCAATTGTGCAAGTTCTTCCACTTAAAAAGATGAGAGAGGCCTGTAATTTTCATCATAGGTACACGTCAACTATGACAGACAAAATGAGGAAAAAAATCAAGAAAATCACATTGTAGGATTTTTTATGAATTTATTTGCAAATTATGGTGGAAAATAAGTATTTGGTCAATAACAAAAGTTTCTCAATACTTTGTTATATACCCTTTGTTGGCAATGACACAGGTCAAACGTTTTCTGTAAGTCTTCACAAGGTTTTCACACACTGTTGCTGGTATTTTGGCCCATTCCTCCATGCAGATGTCCTCTAGAGCAGTGATGTTTTGGGGCTGTCGCTGGGCAACACAGACTTTCAACTCCCTCCAAAGATTTTCTATGGGGTTGAGATCTGGAGACTGGCTAAGCCACTCCAGGACCTTGAAATGCTTCTTACGAAGCCACTCCTTCGTTGCCCGGGCGGTGTGTTTGGGATCATTGTCATGCTGAAAGACCCAGCCACGTTTCATCTTCAATGCCCTTGCTGATGGAAGGAGGTTTTCACTCAAGATCTCACGATACATGGCCCCATTCATTCTTTCCTTTACACGGATCAGTTGTCCTGGTCCCTTTGCAGAAAAACAGCCCCAAAGCATGATGTTTCCACCCCCATGCTTCACAGTAGGTATGGTGTTCTTTGGATGCAACTCAGCATTCTTTGTCCTCCAAACACGACGAGTTGAGTTTTTACCAAAAAGTTATATTATGGTTTCATCTGACCATATGACATTCTCCAAATCCTCTTCTGGATCATCCAAATGCACTCTAGCAAACTTCAGACGGGCCTGGACATGTACTGGCTTAAGCAGGGGGACACGTCTGGCACTGCAGGATTTGAGTCCCTGGCGGCGTAGTGTGTTACTGATGGTAGGCTTTGTTACTTTGGTCCCAGCTCTCTGCAGGTCATTCACTAGGTACCCCCGTGTGGTTCTGGGATTTTTGCTCACCGTTCTTGTGATCATTTTGACCCCACGGGGTGAGATCTTGCGTGGAGCTCCAGATCGAGGGAGATTATCAGTGGTCTTGTATGTCTTCCATTTCCTAATAATTGCTACCACAGTTGATTTCTTCAAACCAAGCTGCTTACCTATTGCAGATTCAGTCTTCCCAGCCTGGTGCAGGTCTACAATTTTGTTTCTGGTGTCCTTTGACAGCTCTTTGGTCTTGGCCATAGTGGAGTTTGGAGTGTGACTGTTTGAGGTTGTAGACAGGTGTCTTTTATACTGATAACAAGTTCAAACTGGTGCCATTAATACAGGTAACGAGTGGAGGACAGAGGAGCCTCTTAAAGAAGAAGTTACAGGTCTGTGAGAGCCAGAAATCTTGCTTGTTTGTAGGTGACCAAATACTTATTTTCCACCATAATTTGCAAATAAATTCATTAAAAATCCTACAATGTGATTTTCTGGATATTTTTTTCTCAATTTGTCTGTCATAGTTGACTTGTACCTATGATGAAAATTACAGGCCTCTCTCATCTTTTTAAGTGGGAGAACTTGCACAATTGGTGGCTGACTAAATACTTTTTTCCCCACTGTATATATTTTTTTATATCATTGACTGTTAATGTTCCAGATTTAGACAAAAGGCTCATGTTCATCTGAAGTCCCTGGGCTCGTCATTTAAAATGACAGCGCAAACAAAAATGCATAAAATACAACAGGACATCAGCCAGTTTTTGCCGTTGTTTAACATAAATCTAATGAAGTTCCCTCTCCTCTTAGCCAAGTCCTCTCATCCTAAGAAAGCTGGAGGCACATCCAAGAGCACGGCCCAGTCCTCATCCTCTTCATCGTCCACACCGTGTACCACAAAGATCTCCAAGGACAGGCCTGCCAACCCAACCGGGACAGAGAAGACCAACAAACGCATCCTCCAACTAGCAACTGACCCTTCCAGCTTCTCTGGAGCCCCAAAGGCATCCCCAGACACAGACAACCTATCAGGGGAGAGACGGCTCACGGGCCCTGGGGATGGGAACGATGGGGTTAAGAAGGATCCCTCTTCTGGCCCAGAGGGCAGGCCTGCTGCTCAGGAAGACTCCTCTCTGCCTGGGGTGGATAAAGACAATGCCTCAGGAGCTGGCCCTCAGGACCCTGGGGAGAAAGCCCCCCTGGTCAACAACACCAATGAGGACACTTCCTTCACTGAGTCTCAAAGCGAGAGCTCCACGGAGGAAGCCCTGGGGACTTGGGAAGATGGAGGAGGTGACCATGAGTCGGGGGACGCAGACCATGACTTAGAGAAAAATCTGAGGTATGTATCTAGTGCAGAAAAGCCTCATTATGGGGTTTCAGACAGAGAAAAAACTGCACAGAAAATGTTATTGTTGAGCAATGCCACACAGCCACTTCATAAGGGTATTAACAACATAATTAGAATAACATTTATATTGCAGATTCAGAAGACAGCACAGCAGTGTAAAAAGCTATCCTGTGTGGAACATTGTACTGTATAATTTACCAATATACACTTATTCTCCCAGAGAAGCTGGATAATTTCCCAGGGGGCATTGCACTTGGTCATCTGTTCAACAGTAAGGTCAAACCAAAGGTCAAAATCTATAAATGTACAGTACTCCACCTTATAGTCACTACCACTCTCAGTATGCCTTCTAAAATCAGTTGTTTCTTAGTTCTACTATGTGCTGTATTCTTAGATGGCTCCTCATTGCTAAACTTTGGGAACACCTGCTGTAAGTCACAGAACCCTGTCTGTGTTGTAGGCCTTCAACCACTGGAAAGAGGATAGTTTATCTTGCATGATGCCAGGTTCATGAGGAAAAGCCTGTTGGGAAAGAAAGGCCTGTTTTCCCCAGCGTTTTGGTCTATACACCCTTCATCTGAAATTTTTTTGCGACATTTTCCATTATGCAACAAGGACAACAATGGCCATGATAAATCAATCAATAGACAAGAATCAATCAGGTAAGAACACTTTATCCGAGTTTTGATGATGTGATTCCAGGCCTATCAATGGGATTGGTGAGAAGCTCCACAGTGTTAACCTGGAGAGCCCAGAGGTTACAGTCATCCCAGACAGCACTATGGAGTCTGACTACCACTCCACAGTCAGCGACTCCGACTCAGATGGGCCCATCCTCTACCGAGACGACGAAGAGGAAGAGGAAGAGGAGGACGAGTATACCACAAGTAAGGAATCCGTCGCAGATATAGAAGCTTACAGCAAATTGTATTCTAGCCTTTAGTCAGTCAGTCAGTCTTCATGTATGCTGTCCAGCCTTTGCAACAAATTAATCCATAGCCACTCGTGCATTCACTGCAAAATCTAAGCAAGCCTAAATATCTTAAATTGAGGGATAATTCACTTAAAATATGTGTTTTTTTCTTTCTTACCAAGCTAAATTATCTCACGGCAGATGATTTTGCTTATTTTATTTTATTAACCAAGATATTTGAATCGTCTTAAGGTAAAATATATATATTTTTTAATTTTGCTTATTTTAATCAACAACAAAAAATTATCTGCGAATGACGTGAGATAATTTAGCTTGGTAAAATGTTTTATATATATTTTAAGTGAATTATCCCTGAATATAAGATATTTAGGCTGTTTCACTTTTTGCAGTGCTAGAAATAAGGAAAACACCCTTGAAACTACAAACATGGACTAGAAACAAGGACTAGAAACATGGACTAGAAACAAGGACTACAAACAACCAAAACACTGTTGAAAACAATGTCACTTCTTGTGTTTCTTTCTGGGAGGTTTTATATGTACTATTATATATACTGCACAGAACACTTTCCTACAGTATAAAACTGGGGGGCTAGCTGGATTTACATGATAATTATTGGTTTTGTAGGCTCTCTAGCCAGTAAGATCCGCCGCAGGGACACCCTGGCCATCAGACTGGGCAACCGGCCCAGCAAGAGAGAGCTGGAGGAGAAGAACATCCTGCCTCGTACCTCTGAGACCGAGAGGCAGGAACTTCGCCAGCAGATTCACTCCAAGCTAGTGAGGTACAGAGTACACCCCTGGAGGCATGCACACACACACACCAGTGTTTCTGCTGCACTCATTTTGCTGTGGTGCTGCGCCACGACAAAATCATTGCCTCCACGCAACAAAAAATTTTGAACATGAAAAAATATTTCTGCTGAGGCGCATTTTGAAGATGCTAGAACATTCCACATGTACGTTTCCTCTGCAAACAAAATGAGTAATTAATAGAAAAATCTAACAAACCCATAGTAGAATAGTTTGTACAGTGAGGGAAAAAAGTATTTGATCCCCTGCTGATTTTTTACGTTTGCCCACTGACAAAGACATGATCAGTCTACAATTTTAATGTTAGGTTTATTTGAACAGTGAGAGACAGAATAACAACAACAAAATCCAGAAAAACGCATGTCAAAAATGTTATAAATTGATTAGCATTTTAATTAGGGAAATAAGTATTTGACCCCTCTGCAAAACATGATTTAGTACTTGGTGGCAAAACCCTTGTTGGCAATCACAGAGGTCAGACGTTTCTTGTAGTTGGCCACCAGGTTTGCACACATCTCAGGAGGGATTTTGTTCCACTCCTCTTTGCAGATCTTCTCCAAGTCATTAAGGTTTCGAGGCTGACGTTTGGCAACTCGAACCTTCAGCTCCCTCCACAGATTTCTATGGGATTAAGGTCTGGAGACTGGCTAGGCCACTCTTAATGTCCTTCTTCTTGAGCCACTCCTTTGTTGCCTTGGTCGTGTGTTTTGGGTCATTGTCATGCTGGAATACCCATCCACGAACCATTGTCAATGCCCTGGCTGAGGGAAGGAGGTTCTCACCCAAGATTTGATGGTACATGGCCCCGTCCATCGTCCCTTTGATGCAGTGAAGTTGTCCTGTCCCCTTAGCAGAAAAACACCCCCAAAGCATAATGTTTCCACCTCCATGTTTGACGGTGGGGATGGTGTTCTTGGGGTCATAGGCAGCATTCCTCCTCCTCCAAACACGGCGAGTTGAGTTGATGCCAAAGAGCTCGATTTTGGTCTCATCTGACCACAACACTTTCACCCAGTTCTCCTCTGAATCATTCAGATGTTCATTGGCAAACTTCAGACGGGCCTGTATATGTGCTTTCTTGAGCAGGGGGATCTTGCGGGCGCTGCAGGATTTCAGTCCTTCACGGCGTAGTGTGTTACCAATTGTTTTCTTGGTGACTATGGTCCCAGCTGCCTTGAGATCATTGACAAGATCCTCCCGTGTAGTTCTGGGCTGATTCCTCACTGTTCTCATGATCATTGCAACTCCACAAGGTGAGATCTTGCATGGAGCCCCAGGCCGAGGGAGATTGACAGTTCTTTTGTGTTTCTTCCATTTGCGAATAATCGCACCAACTGTTGTCACCTTCTCACCAAGCTGCTTGGCGATGGTCTTGTAGCCCATTCCAGCCTTGTGTAGGTCTACAATCTTGTCCCTGACATCCTTGGAGAGCTCTTTGGTCTTGGCCATGGTGGAGAGTTTGGAATCTGATTGATTGATTGCTTCTGTGGACAGGTGTCTTTTATACAGGTAACAAACTGAGATTAGGAGCACTCCTTTTAAGAGTGTGTTCCTAATCTCAGCTCGTTACCTGTATAAAAGACACCTGGGAGCCAGAAATCTTTCTGATTGAGAAGGGGTCAAATACTTATTTCCCTCATTAAAATGCAACACAATTTATAACATTTTTGACATGCGTTTTTCTGGATTTTTTTGTTGTTATTCTGTCTCTCACTGTTCAAATAAACCTACCATTAAAATTATAGACTGATCATTTATTTGTCAGTGGGCAATCGTACAAAATCAGCAGGGGATCAAATACTTTTTTCCCTCTCTGTATATTTGTCTAGTCGGCTTGTTGTTGTGTTCTATGCTAGATAAATATTCCTCTCGTGGCGCATTCATGTTATAAATGCCATTCCTCTCGTGGCGCATTCATGTTATAAATGCCATAGGGAGGGAAACATGCATTCTGAAAATCAGTCAATGCACAACAATTCTTGCAATCACGTAAACTGCAGTTTTAATGGCTTTTGTTAAAAAGAGGGGAATCCCAGCTTTCCATTCCTACTTTATTTATTTCTCATCTCCTAAATATTCGCGCCATTTTAAACCCGTTTTTTTTTGGCAGAGGCATGGTTAAGCACCATTACTGCGCCGCAATTTCGCAGTGAGTGCATAGGGGAGAGTGGGGCTAAATGTAACACCGGTCAATTGTTTTTTTTACCTTTATTTGTTAATTGTAGGGTGACTTGGGGTACAACGACTCTATACCTCAAAATCCTTTATTTGGAATGACTTTAAAAATTGTGATGAGACGGATTATATTTTTTGTTGATCGAGAGTAGTGGAAACCAGGGAAAGTGTTGAGGGAAAAATTGTGACATGAAATGGTTTCTGTGAGAAGTGCAGGCAGGGGGCTTTTTACCTCAAGTGGCGAGTTACCCTAAGTTACCCTAACAGGTAGGCCTACATTAAATTCAGTGTTTATGCAAGTTTTTTGGGACGTAAAATTAATCAATATGATAATAACTAGTTAAAATATCACATTTGAGATCTGGCTAATGATTAGCCCAATAGGGTAAATGCAGATAGGCGACCCCATGCTTCAGCCTAATTATTTGCACTTTGCTGCATCAGTTGGGCTAAAGGTGATAATATTTATTGCTAATAGCATACCTGATAATATGCATAGGCTATATACAGTGGGGGAAAAAAGTATTTAGTCAGCCACCAATTGTGCAAGTTCTCCCACTTAAAAAGATGAGAGAGGCCTGTAATTTTCATCATAGGTACACGTCAACTATGACAGACAAAATGGGAATTTTTTTTCAAGAAAATCACATTGTAGGATTTTTTATGAATTTATTTGCACATTTTGGTGGAAAATAAGTATTTGGTCAATAACAAAAGTTTCTCAATACTTTGTTATATACCCTTTGTTGGCAATGACACAGGTCAAACGTTTTCTGTAAGTCTTCACAAGGTTTTCACACACTGTTGCTGGTATTTTGGCCCATTCCTCCATGCAGATCTCCTCTAGAGCAGTGATGTTTTGGGGCTGTCGCTGGGCAACACGGACTTTCAACTCCCTCCAAAGATTTTCTATGGGGTTGAGATCTGGAGACTGGCTAGGCCACTCCAGGACCTTGAAATGCTTCTTACGAAGCCACTCCTTCGTTGCCCGGGCGGTGTGTTTGGGATCATTGTCATGCTGAAAGACCCAGCCACGTTTCATCTTCAATGCCCTTGCTGATGGAAGGAGGTTTTCACTCAAAATCTCACGATACATGGCCCCATTCATTCTTTCCTTTACACGGATCAGTCGTCCTGGTCCCTTTGCAGAAAAACAGCCCCAAAGCATGATGTTTCCACCCCCATGCTTCACAGTAGGTATGGTGTTCTTTGGATGCAACTCAGCATTCTTTGTCCTCCAAACACGACGAGTTGAGTTTTTACCAAAAAGTTATATTTTGGTTTCATCTGACCATATGACATTCTCCCAATCCTCTTCTGGATCATCCAAATGCACTCTAGCAAACTTCAGACGGGCCTGGACATGTACTGGCTTAAGCAGGGGGACACGTCTGGCACTGCAGGATTTGAGTCCCTGGCGGCGTAGTGTGTTACTGATGGTAGGCTTTGTTACTTTGGTCCCAGCTCTCTGCAGGTCATTCACTAGGTCCCCCCGTGTGGTTCTGGGATTTTTGCTCACCGTTCTTGTGATCATTTTGACCCCACGGGGTGAGATCTTGCGTGGAGCCCCAGATCGAGGGAGATTATCAGTGGTCTTGTATGTCTTCCATTTCCTAATAATTGCTCCCACAGTTGATTTCTTCAAACCAAGCTGCTTACCTATTGCAGATTCAGTCTTCCCAGCCTGGTGCAGGTCTACAGTTTTGTTTCTGGTGTCCTTTGACAGCTCTTTGGTCTTGGTCATAGTGGAGTTTGGAGTGTGACTGTTTGAGGTTGTGGACAGGTGTCTTTTATACTGATAACAAGTTCAAACAGGTGCCATTAATACAGGTAACGAGTGGAGGACAGAGGAGCCTCTTAAAGAAGAAGTTACAGGTCTGTGAGAGCCAGAAATCTTGCTTGTTTGTAGGTGACCAAATACTTATTTTCCACCATAATTTGCAAATAAATTCATTAAAAATCCTACAATGTGATTTTCTGGAAAAAAATTCTCAATTTGTCTGTCATAGTTGACGTGTACCTATGATGAAAATTACAGGCCTCTCTCATCTTTTTCAGTGGGAGAACTTGCACAATTGGTGGCTGACTAAATACTTTTTTTCCCCACTGTACTGTACATGGCCCAATATGTTAAAATCATTTTAACTAATAATTTTACCAATGTGTTTTTGGGCTCATTTCTAAAATCTATTTTAGATGGTGTCAGCATACTTATTTTAATTCATTTTGTAGTAGAACGTCTTTTTAAAAAGTCACCAGAACTGAGCTCCTCAGTCCTTCTACATAAAAATTATAGGAAGGTTCCACCCCCTTCAACCACCCTTCAACCCCCCTCCGCAACCTCCCCCCCCCACTCCTTTTGCCCCCACTGCTACAAATTTTTCCCAGAGGAAACACTGACACACACCACTGTCTGCAGCAGCAGTTGATGACTCTAGCTTTGGTAATTGTTTTGGGATCTACCACTCCAGAAGACCCGAAACACATGGTCATTATCTATTCAGAGTGGTACACACACACACCACGGCATGACTTGCTGTGTGTATAACCCAAGGCTTCTTCTAAGATTCCATTCTTCAGTGGGGGGTTGATAACACAAACTATCCTGGGTTATTAAAGTTGTAGATAGAATAATGAGATGTGATGGCGCCAAGTCTCCAAAACCTACTTTCTCAACAGTATTTGTTTGTCATCAAGATTGTATCTAATCTGAAATAACTGTTCTGGTGTGAGATTCCTGAAAACTTCGTAGCACTAAAATCATATTTCATCCAAGGGATTTAAGATGATAAAAA